AACAGGAAACATTGTCATGATTTTTCAGTTTTCTATTTTATCTAGTCCTTGGGTTAAAAAAATGCCCAAATTTTCCGCCAAAACTTATATATGAGGCATAGGTGTTCCTGAAGGCTGGATTTGAATTCGCGGGACGGAACATGGGCAGAATACATACTTCTGAAATTTCAGACTCCTAGCTTTTCTGGTCGCTGAGTTGGGAATTCGGACAAAGTTCGGAAACACACAAGCATGCATACCAAAGAAATACACACAATGGGGTCTTGATATTGTGGGTTTGTACTGGTTTGTAGTAAAAAAACGCATAAAAAGGTCACATTTGATGTTGACTGGAAAATGTGTAGATTATTCCGTGTCTTATCGGCATTTGCGGAATATCAAAGCCGTTGGACTAATATAAAACAAATATAGGACTAATAAGGAGTACAAGATAATGAAAAGAAAAAGGCTGAAAATTCTAGCGAAAAGATGTTTGATTGGGTAGTTGCAGGTACAGCCATCAACAACAGTTGCCGTACAGTCAGCAGCCGCAGCAGCAGTATCAGCCGCAGCAACATTATTAGAACTGAAGTATTCTGATCTCATTTTTAGAATTTGTAGTTTTTTAAAGTAGTGCTTCAACGGAGCATAATTAGTAGTGGTTTATTCCTTTGCTTGATTGGCTTTGTTTCGTTTACAGCCTTATAAATTATGCGGATCGGAAAGCTAATACCATTTAAGCCTACTAAAGCGATACAGTCATTATTAAAGCGCGTGGATTTTTTTATTTGCCGGAAATTTCAAGTCCTTCATGGCCTTAGTGTGAATACTATTCGATTTTGATTTCTTTGTCGCTTATAATGTTCAGAATTTTTGTATAATAGTGAATGTACTCAAGCATTCATTCGCCGCTCAGAGTCTGACTGCTTTTGTTTCAGAAGTTTGTTTCAGAAGTTCGGTGATTTTTTTCTCACATATATTATCGAGTGTCTTTGTGCCGGTATATATTCAGAAAAACGCGTGAACTTTGTCACCCCCTTTTAGTTGGGAAAGTTAGAAGGTTGAAATTTTACGATTGTATTCCTAACCCATTTGTCACGTTCCCATTTTAAAATCTTTGCTCATACGCGCCTGCACCTTACATGTGGACGACTTAACATATAATTTATTTGGCGTGAGAACGATTTTGGGAACTGACAAGCGTAGGAAGCTGCTGTAAAATATGCTATTCTTTTTGTAAAATTATATAATGTTTTTTTTTTCTCTTTTTTTTTCCCTTTTTACCCTACGACTCAGAATGCCATTTGCATTCCTGTGTGTTTACAGTTTTCTGCGTTTTCGTCTTTCCTTTTTTTTTACACCCGTAAAAACCTAATTACATGTGCGTTCCCCTTATCCCGTTTTGCTCCTATTTTGGAATGCGCTTGCATTCCCAACGGCTCACATTTCACTTTACCTTAATAATCATTTTCACATTTTCAATCCCTCCAAAAAACTATTATATCCTCTTTTGGGGCGGTCCCTACACC